TTGAAGCATCTTGGGCTGGAGGAGTATTTCTCAGAGATCAACACCAACCCAAGCTATGTTGATGAAGAAGGAAGGCTTAGGATTTCTCCTCACCATGATTTCACCAAATTCTCACATGGCTGCAGCCTCTGCCCTCCCAACATGTGCAAGGTATATTATTATTATAATAAACCCACAATCAAGACACCAACTTCTCTGTTGGACCCAATTCCAAAGGGCTTGGAACATTTTCTTATACTTTATAAATACTAAATAAAAAACTCTGAAGATGCTAATTTTTTTTTTTACTGTAATTAATTACAGGGTGTGGTCATTGAAAGAATCCAAACTTCTGTATGCACTGAAGGGAAGAAGAAGATAATCTATCTTGGAGATGGCAGTGGAGATTATTGTCCAAGCTTGAAGCTCAAGGAAGGAGATTTTGTAATGCCAAGGAAAAACTTCCCATTGTTTGATCTAATCTGCAAGGACCCTTTGCTCATCAAGGCAGGCATCCATGAATGGACAGATGGGGAGGAGCTTGAGCAGATTCTGCTCAGCCTCATCAACACAATTTCCATGGAGGAAAATGCTCAGTTTATCTCAGCTGATTGCAAGTTGCAGACCGTCTCTGCTTCTGCTCATGAGGCCTTTCCCAAGGCTCTCCCTGTTCAGCAATAGTAGTCCTAATCATAATTAACATGTGTGTATGTACAAGTTTGGTTGGGTTTTACCCTAATTAATGTGATGCTGGAAAATTAATGTCATGGCCAGCAAATTCAGTTTTTGGTTTAGAAATAGGCTTTGTAAGTTTGTGATGTTGTATTGATCAAGAAAATTGGATCAATATAAATTTTCATTGGGAAAAAAAGGGTGAAATTGGAAAATGATTGCTACATTTATGGGCTTTCCAATTCTTACCTAGGCCAAATAGCAGCCACATGGTCATTTGCAGAGGCAGGCCCTTTAATCTGCCAATATAGTTTGCGTCACTTACACACTCTTCTAGTTTTTATATAAAAAACATTAGATAAAGGATTTTGCGGCTTTTGTTCGCTCTAGTTTTATTTTTAATATGTTAGTTTGTTGCCTTTTGGGATTGGTATATTCGATGTCTCGTTCAAGTTTTTTATTGTACTGTTGAAGTTTATTTAATAAAGTTTAAAATAAAATAGAGAAAATAAAAAAATTAACAAAACAAAAGACCGGTCAAAGGTCAAAGTTAATTAACTGGGAGGCTTTGAGATCTTATGACATATATTATATATGTTTTAGCTATCATGCATGCATTTACAAAACGGGATTTGGATAATCTTATCTTTTAGTTACCAAAGGCAAGTTTTCTATCGACGTGTACAGCCCACAGGGATTGCTGTCATCATAGTCTTATAAAATACTACTCTCATGAGTCTCTTTCTACATATGTCACGAGTCACGACAACACATGAGTGTGCATGCATACATCGGTTTCCTGTACAATATTTACTTTTTTTTTAAAAAAAATTGATCATATCTCATAAGTGGATTCCACATAAATAATCGGAAGATAATGAAATTAACTTTCTAATTAATGATTCAAATTTAGTGTACGGGTATTGCTATTTGGACTATATTTACTGAATATATTGTTGACCACCTCTCTAATATAGGTGGCTCTCACATACACTAGTTGGACTCACTTTTATTAGAGATGTGGTCAGTAATATGATCAGTAAATATGGTACAAATATAACATTATTGTTAATTTAAAAGAACTAACTTTCCAATGGGGTCTAGCCCATTGAAAAATGGCCTTGACTTGCAGACAAGATATCTTAGGTTCGAACCCCCATGATATCATTTTTGTGTGTGTAAGAAATCCCCTCTCCTCTAGTTTAGACTATCGCTTGTACTAAAAAAAACTTTAAAAAAACTAACTTGCTTATATATGGCCATCACAAATTTAACAACAATGTGAAATCTCATATGATAAAAATGAGTGCATATACATTGCGGGTTTAACTCAAAAGCAATTGACAACGAGTATGAAGATGTATACAATTTTATACATTGAGGTGCAAGAAAATAGTGCAGAAGAACAGGAGCTCTCCTATTCCACTAACTCATATAGAGTCAAAGCAAGGAAGGCTCAAAATGCTTCCTCTATAATTCACACTAGATTTTGAGTCTAATTATACACTTTAAAGATCCAATCTTTGATTTCCCATCCACTATGTACCTCACTGTAGCCATGCTTTTCAATTGTCATGTACTGTTTTTCCACTGCAAATGATTGAATTAATTATATATGCCTTTATTTTATTTTTTTCAATGCAGACAAAAATTATTTAGGAAAAGTTATGAGTAAGCAGTGACATGGCCAAAATATAATAATCGCATGAATCACAACGAAATGGTTTTGAAATTGACACGAATGTTAAATCACAAGAACTGTAGCCTTTGCATGCATCAATATTGCACTAGGGGCATGAATTTAGGCATTGTCAGAATGTCAATGATATATTTTGTTTGCATACATGAAGATGATTTTTATTTTTACCTTTTTAAAAAGAGAGAGGTGATTGATAATTGAAAAGTGCAATAGTAAACACGAGGAAAGCATGGAGAAATAATAAAAAATACATGACGTCTGCACGGTAATAATGTTCAAATGTTCGAACGTCCGAACATGCATATAAAAGAATTTTCTATATATATATAATACGCCAAATTGAAACCACACCGACCATGAACCAACATTTTTATTCTTGTAACCGTATAGCTTTTCTAGGTCTTGATTGAGTTTAGTTGTTTTCCTTGAGATTTATTTCCCTACCAAAATAAACAATTAAAAAATAATGTAAAAAAAAAAAATTCGAATTTGCATGCGCATCAAATGCGTGACTACATATTGTCAATCAACCACTCACCACCTTCCTATTATTTTGGATGCTTTTTCCTTTGGTCGGTATTATATATCCACTAGACTTTAGGCACCAAGCAACAAGAAAATGGCCTTCTTTTCTCCGGAAATTCTCGTTAATATATATATATATATAAATTGGCATCTGTGCATACAAAGATTTTAAGTAACTAATGTGATAAAAGTGTAGAGGATAAGAAATTGAATAAGAAAATGTTAAATTTAGAGAGACGTGTCAGTGGTCCATTATTAACAACACCGATATTGTCTTCAACTTAACTATTTACAAAGCCTAGTAAGTGTAGGGTTTTATCACAAAAGGTCTCTCGATGTTATTAGTATTAGAATCAGTCAATATATTTTGTATTTTATTTAGTCAAGTTTCTGATGTGATACTCATATTCTTCCACATAAAATAGTTGGCAACTAGCAGAGGATCATTAGCTTGGGAATCCTATAAGGGAAACATCACCTACACAACATTTAAGAAGCCAATTTGCCAATTGGTCATATTGGGGGAATCTTTTATATCTACTTTCCTATGTTTAATAAGCAAGATTTGGAAATCGTATAATGTTCAACGCAACTGAAAAATTATCGACCTATATACTTTATTTGGATGCTCCGGAGAGATAATTTAACGTTACTTTGGTTAAAAATAATAATTTTTCATTAATGCGTGAGATTTTGAATTTTTAATGAGTTTGTTATAACAATGGAGAATAAGACTAAGGGTTCGTTTGTGAGTGATAATAAGATAGACCAATAATAACTTTTATGGAGAATCACTTCTTAAAGTGATTATATAAAGAAGTATGTAAAAGGTTGAAGATGATGATGACTGAGAAATAGATTATCAAATTTGGAACTTGGTCGAAATGGAATGGAAGGCTGTTTTCTTGGGCAAGGAAATGTAATGAACACATGTAAAATGTGTGAAGTTAAAAAGTGACATAATGTTACTATATTACCCCTAAGTGGTTAAGTTTGTGTAGGACATCATTCACATATCCTATATACAATTGAGAAATAAAAAATTTGATTGATTTAATGTATAGTGCTCATTTTGATAAATTATTCATTTATAGCACTAGTGAAATTCTATACTATTTAATTTTTATAAACAAATATTGAAAACATAGCACTAGTGAAATTCTATACAATTTAATTTTTATAAACAAATATTGAAAAAAAAAACCAATAAGAACAGTTGACCCTATTGAATTAATTTTGATTATTAAATTACTTTGATGCCCTATTGAGTGTTTTGAGTTTTTTTAATGAGGTTTTCGAGTTGGGCTTGTTTTAAGAATCGATGACAGTTTTGTAATTTATAGGACGTTCGAAGCCTCTTTATTATGTTGTAAATGAACTTTGAGTGTGTTTCTAAAGTCCATTTTATGTAAGTCTTTTTATGTGTATAATTTAGGCATCATTCATCTATTTATAATTATTTTTTTATTTTTTATAAATACAAGTGATAGTCTAAACTATAAGGGGTGGGGATTTCTCACACACATTATCAAAGTGCAATGGAGGTTCAAACTTGTGACTTGTTATGCAAGTGAATGCTTTTTTTAAAGAAAAATATTTAATTGAATTAAGTTTTTCTTTTGGAGGGGTATAAAAAAACCTTGTACAAATAAATGAGGTTGATTTAGGTCCATAAAATAGACCCAAAACCAAACAGAGCCCTAATGTTAGAGGTGGTGGAGTGTGACGCACCCAAAAAAGCTTTAGCACTTAGCAGCCACCAAATTAGGGAAAATAGGAATATTCCCCTAGTTACTGCCAAGTGCGTTTTATAGCTGGTTCAATTCCCTTGGAATATTCCTCATATTCCCGCGTTTTATCTGATTATATCCCCTCCCCTCTCCACCCTCCGATCTTCCACCGATGCAAAAGTCATCGGATCCAACGGCTAAAATCCCACAACGCACCTAACAAATATTAGCTTGCAATCCAAATCCTATAATAAATCATTATTATTCTATATTGTTCATGCAATATTCGCTTGCAATCCAAATCCTAATAAAAATCACCAAATTCACACACTTGGGTTGCTATAAATATACCCCCTTGCCTTCTCTCTACTTTCCACTTGCAAATAAACCAAGAACTCTTGTGCTTCTTCTGCTTGTGTTTTTTGGGTACCATTTTTTTTTCTTCCTCACAGAGAATTTCATCAATGGCTGGAATTGTGGTGGTTTTTGACTTTGACAAGACCATTATCGAGTGTGATAGTGATAATTGGGTGGTGGATGAGTTGGGTGCAACAGATTTGTTCAATCAACTTCTGCCCACCATGCCTTGGAACTCTCTCATGGTATGTTTTAGATTTCTTTTTATAATTAATATGTTCCTGTTTAGTTTCATGTTGTTTTTTTTAGTACAAGAATTGGGGGAGGGTTTACTCGAATATTCATTGGGCGTTTGGGGGTTTCGAACCTCTGCTCACATGAGTAGAGGTGGAAGAGCTCAACCTACCGAGCTAAATCCCATTGGCGTTGTTTTTCTTATGTATAATATATGGTTTCATTTCATGTGAACCAAAAAAGAAAGAATATATTCTATGGTTTCAAGAGACTTAAAATATGTTTCTTTTTGGACAAAATATTTTGTAGGATAGGATGATGAAGGAGCTTCATTCACAAGGAAAAACCATTGAAGACATTGTAGAGGTTCTGAAACGAACTCCAATTCATCCTAGAGTCGTCCCAGCAATTAAAGCAGCCCATGCTTTAGGGTATGTGTCAAAACCCTCCATCAATATATATTTTCTTCTTTCTTTAAAAAAAAAAAAAAATCTTTTATCCCGTGTCTTATTTCTCGGAAGAAATATAATTAATTTTGTGGTGGGTTTTTGGTTTTGGTGGCTGCAGTTGTGATTTGAAGATTGTTAGCGATGCAAATCTGTTTTTTATTGAGACAATCTTGAAGCATCTTGGGCTGGAGGAGTTTTTCTCAGAGATCAACACCAACCCTAGCTATGTGGATGAACAAGGAAGGCTTAGGATTTCTCCTCACCATGATTTCATCAAATGCTCTCATGGCTGCAGTCTCTGCCCTCCCAACATGTGCAAGGTATATTATTTCTTTTTTCTTTATAAATAAACTCACAATTTTGAGAATATTATATATAAATATATACGCATGTTTTTGTTTTTGTTTTTTTCCTTCAAAAGTTGGAATCAAGACATCAACTTCTCTGTTGGACCCAATTCCAAAAGGATTAGGACATTTTGTAGATACCCTTGAATTGTTGTGACCCCCAATCTTGAATGTCCTAATCAAGGATTTGACATGAGCTCAGTATTTTCCATACTTAATGAGTATTGAACAATAAACTCTTCATTAAAAATTAATTATGATTTTAATTATATGCTACATTAAATAATTACAGGGTGTGGTCATTGAAGAAAGAATCCAGACTTCTCTCTCCAGTGAAGGGAAGAAGAAGTTAATCTATCTTGGAGATGGCAGTGGAGATTATTGCCCAAGCTTGAAGCTCAAGGAAGGAGATTTTGTAATGCCAAGGAAGAACTTCCCACTGTTTGACCTAATCTGCAAGGACCCATTGCTCATCAAAGCTGACATCCACGAGTGGACTGATGGGGAGGAGCTTGAGCATATTCTGCTCAACCTCATCAACACAATTGCCATGGAAGAAAATGCTCAGTTTATCTCAGCAGCTGATTGCAAGTTGCAGACCATGTCTGCTCATGAGGCCTTGCCTCAGGCTCTCCCTGTCCGGCAATAGTAATAATAATTAACTAGTGTGTGTGTTCAAGTGTGGTTGGTTTGACCTAATTAATGTAATATGCTGGCAAATTAATGTCATGGCCAGCAAATTCAGAAGAAACCCTTTTTACCCTTCTGCTTGGTTTGGTTTCTTGTTTTAGAAACAAGGTTTGTAAAAGTTTGTGATTTTGTATTGATCAAGAAAAGGAAAATACTTTCCTTCTTACCATGTAAGTACAAGCTCCTATACATTCCTGTCAATAAATATGCATAAGTTTTTCTTTTCGTGTTTTTGATGAATTATTTTTGCATATGTGTCAAACTGTGATTTGCAGAAAGAAAGAGTATCTCCTTACAGTGAAGGAGGCAAGCAATATCCTCAATAAAATTGAATCAATATACATTTGAAAATCTTTGCTGCATTTATGTGCTTTCCAATTCTTACACAGGCCAAGTAGCAGCCTCATGGTCATTTACAGAAACAGGCCCTTTTGATTAATCTTTCAGATCAGTCCATATTTTCGTTTGTTTTGCTAATAATAAGCATTAAATAAAGGATCGTGCAGCTTTAAAATAAAAAAGAGAATAAAAACAACAAAACAAAAGACCATTCAAAGTTCAAACTTAATTATACATTATACATGTTTTAGCTCTGATGCATATACAAAACAGGATTTGGATCCTCTTTTCTTTTAGTCAAGGAAGGCAACTTTCCTAATAAGCTGAAATCCACGAGAACAAGGATTGTTTGTTGCTATCATAGTATTATGGAAGAGTACAAAAAAAAAAAGATGCGGCTCCTCTCGTATCATACATCCGTTTCATGTAAGTTATCCTCTTACATATGTTGTGGTGCAAGAAATAATGCAGATAGAACAAATGGATCTCCCATTCCACTAACTTGAAGAAAATATAGAGTCAAAGAAAAGCTCAAAATGCTTTCCTCTCATTAGATTTTCTTTTTAGTGTAATTATTTCCTTTAAAGATCCAATCTTGGATTCCCTATCCACTATGTACCCTGTCTAGCTATATATGCTTTCCATTGTCATGTACTGTTCTTTCCCTGCAAATGATTTTATTTGTTTTTTTTAAGAGAAAGATGACAACTCAAAAGTGCTTCTCCTAAAAGCAATGGGTAGTCGGTACGTCAAAATATGCATCATATCTTATCTTGAATATGACAAGTTAGTCCAAGTATTAGCTGTGTTTCTCAAATCATCAGTGGGAATATTATTATTTTCAATACAAGCGATAGTCTAAATTAGAAGGGAGGAGATTTCTCACACACACGCATGAATATGAAAAGTAGTTAAGTTTTTTAATATTAATTTGATTTGAGAAATAAACTGGTCATTTATGTGTGTTTTGTTTATTTACAACGATCTACCTGCACATAAAAGCAAGCAAATAAACGAAAATAGCAACCATGCCAAAGAACAATTAGGTGATTTGCAGCAACCTTCGTCAAAGACGATGTAGAATCAAATTTAGAGAACATGAGTGACGTTAGCAGGTTTTGGGAGAAGGATTTGATTGAGAACATAGACTAAAAGAGGTAATGAGGAATTTCAATCTAAGTATGGTTAAGAAGAAATCACCACAAGGGGCTTTTTATTCAAAACACTCTAGTGGACTTATTCACTAACCTAAAAGGAAAAGACGAGAAGAGAGGAGGGGAGGAGGGGCAGTGACGCTTCTTCCTCCCTTTCTATGGAGTTTTCCTTTAGGACTCATAGAGGGAGAGAGAGGCTAGGGTTTTTTCTCTACCAAGCCCTGGCAGGCCCGCAAGCAAGAACAACCCAAGCTGGTGCCTAAGGGTACTCCTGGTTCCGCCCCATGCCTCAAGATTGTCTTCTATGTGAATTGAACCCGGTGCACTGAAGGGGAGAGGGAGAGTTTGACCCACTTTTCCACTGTGGTGCCACCCATGTTGACTGGCAGTTTAGTCTATAGATATATATTGAGCTCGATGTCCTGAATTTATTTTATCCTTTATTTTATACCTTTTGTTTATATAAATGAGTGTTTGCTCTGATTTATCTATCACTAGAGTTCTCTCTTAATTTGTGACCAAAAAAAAAAAAAAAAGAGTTCTCTCAAAAATTGAGCTCATGGCCCTTCTTACTCGATGAGGCTTAGATGAATATATAGGCATTACGTCTTAGAAAATGATGTTTCAGTCAAGATTGGACGGCCCAGATTTTCTCTAAGATTTTACATGGTATATAAATAAATAAAAAGATTTCTAACAGCAATTTCCAATCAGACAGTTTCTTAACTAATCTAGAAGGTACTAATAAAGATTTAAACCCTTCAGATTTTTATTACCAAAATCCAAGCATTAGGATGGTTTCAGTCGAGATTAATGCTTCTTATTGTACTGTCAAACTTGTTGACATTTTGGCATCAGTTTCTCTTGCAGCTTGACCAATATTCAGCTACAAGCTTGGAGAAGTAGGAGTTTGTATCCAAGAGCTTTGAAGGCACTTCATACTCCATCAGCTTCCCTATAATTTATACACAAACAAATTAAACCACCCTGCATATTAGCAATAGGGTTCATATAAAAATATCACAAGGTCACAGGCCCTGCAGTTTTGATTGAAATTCTGTGATATAGAGATAACTGGAACAATAAAAGCTTACCATAGGAGAGGACCATGACCATGTCACTGTCTATAACGGTTGGAACTCTGTGAGCCACAGTTATCACTGTGCATTCTGCAAATTCCTCCCTGATGATTCTCTGCAGAACGGCGTCTGTCGAAGAATCAATGGACGCTGTAGCCTCGTCTAGAACTAGAATTCTGTTCCTCTTGAGAAGGACTCTGCCAAGGCAAAAGAGCTGGCGTTGTCCGGCGCTCCAATTTTCCCCTTCATCACTTACTGTTGAAATCGTTGTAGTTATAACTTTTACAACAGTATGATTATAATATGATCTCTTCACTTCTCAGAATCATTATTAGACTTAATGGAAACTTGGAGCTTAAGTAAGGTGTTAAGAACACTTTTTCTCATTTGTTTGTTGGAAACATCATAAACTCACCAGATGAGTCTAGCAGACTAGGTAGCTTGCTGACTGTTGCCTTGAGCTGACACTTTTCTAGAGCCTGCAATGAAAAACTCATTAACTTCATCCATAATCTACTAGTAGGAAAACAGAGATAAATTTAAGTAATGCCTAAACTGGGTTGCGTTAGTAAAACTTGCTGACAAACAATGTAAGAATTATGCAGGAAAAGCCTTTTCATCAGAACTGGAGTTGGTTCTTGCTCACCCTCCATATTTCGTCATCGGAGTAAAGGCCTAGTGGATCCAAGTTGGTTCGGATGCTTCCCCTGAAAAGAGTTGGTTCTTGAGGGATGATGCTGAGCTTCATTCTCAAGTCTTTTAGACCCGTAGAGGAGATGTCAAGTCCATCTATAATGATTTTACCACTGGCCGGCTCTACTAAGCGAAACAAAGCACTTATGAGTGTAGTTTTTCCGCTTCCTGTCCTTCCCACAACTCCTACTCTCGTGCCTTCTTTGAATGTGCACGTAATTCCCTTGAGAACTAGCGGAGCATTTGGACGATATTTGATCTTTAACCAACCAAAAGAAGCAAGTAATGGTTAGAATTCTAACCTGATCAAATATCGTAAAGGAACAGTTTTTTATTGGGTAAGGAAGTTCAAGTGTATGATTTTGAATATATTACCTCCAGAGAATACAGCTCTATCCTACCCTTCGGAGGCCATGAAGATGCTGGCCTCTTGTCCTCCACAATTGCAGGAGGCTCTGGTACAATTTGCATGAATTGTTTTATCCTCTCAACCGAGATAATGTAGTTGGATAAGCTGCAATACCATCGAGTCGCAAAAATTTGTGTTGCTGTTAGTGATAAAGAATAAGAAAGAGAAAGCCCCACAAGCTCTGCACAACATCCAGGAAATTAGGTTAGGGTTAAACAACTTTAGACAACCTCAAACTCCTTAGTTTGAAACAAGGATTTCCGTCTAATAGATTACCTGGTGCAACATAACCCTTAGGAAGTAAAACAATGAAAAAAGCAGCTGTGAAAAGGGTCAGATTCTGAAGTGTTTCAGTCCTTAAAATTAACCATTCCATCGTTGCATTAGAATGAAAGAACAATCTGGCATCTGTGTCAACTAGCTCTAAGTAATTGTGGAAGAACCTGTCCGCCATCTTAAAAGCTCTTATAGTGACAACTCCAAGTGATGTCTCTGATGCATAGTTCATAACAGGAGCTTTGGTTGTTCCATTGATCCTTATTAGTTCCCTTGCAGAGGCTAGATAATAGTCCTAGAAACAATACACAGAATTCAGTTCCATCATTCGATTGGTGAAGAAAGAGAGAGTTAGAACAAAATCAACAAACTGATATCCTGATCCACCTGAACATATTTTGTAGCAACCATGGCAAGAATGCCTACAATGACAACTTCCCATGTGACAGAAGCCATAATTCCAATCGTTATCAGCAGTTCAGTGCAAGAAGCCAAAAGAAAGATAATGGAGAAAGGTATGTCAAAATCCAAAATACTTAAGTCTGAGGAAGCCTGCACAAGTGGAAATATTGAATGAAGATAAGAATAAATTCTAAAATAAGTAATTGAAATATACAAGTACACTTACTCGTATTAAAATCCTCCCTACAGGGGTTGAGTCAAAGAACAGCATGGGAGCCTTGAAGATAGCATCAGTGAAACCAGAATAAAAGGCTCTAGAAGCTTTCAATCCCATATGGGCAGCAAAAAATGACCTAAGATATACAAAGATGGCACTAAGTGCTGAAATTGCAGCATAAACACCAATGAGTACGCCACTGGTCAGTTTAGGAATTTGAATGCCTAGAGCTAGCCAATAAGTTGCAGCAGCCTGAAGACTACTAAAAAAAGACTGTGCTATTATGCCTAACCATAGAAGAAGTGTTCCTCTGGAAACAAATATATAATCCCAAAAGGGCTTCCATCCAACATCTCCAATCTCTTTCTCTTCTTCTTCTGTTAGTTGCACCCCAGCTATACCCTTCACAGAAATATCCCCTTCACTGTTATTTGCAGTAAGGTAAGCCCCATGAGGTTCCTTGCACCGAACCATATCTCCCTTTTCAGATTCTCCTTGGCTTTGATAATTGGAAGGACCCAATGTTGTCACTGCATCTTTATGAGCATTCACAAGCTGCTCAAATGCTGTTCCAACTGTCAAAAGACTCTCGTAGCTTCCAGATTGAGTAACTTTTCCACCCTCCATTACCTGTAAAATAAATTATAAGATAGTTGTTCCTTGTTAGTCTGACCAAATAAGGTTTCATGAACAACACAGTTTGAATGTTTGTTGCAAATAAATTGAACTGTGAGGTAATAACAATATACCAGAATTTTATCAACTTCTGAGATAAATTCAACTTGGTGAGTCACCAGAATTACAGTTTTCTTTGCTAGGGCGGCCATGACGCAATCCTGCATAAGCCATTCAAATTGAGTGAAATCTTTCTACAATGAGACTAAATGTAGTTTTCATGCTTCTTAAAATTACTAAATGTTCCATTCTTACATGAAATAGAATTGCAGCAGTATGTGCATCCACTGCACTAAAGGGGTCATCAAGAAGATAGATATCAGCATCACTATAGACAGCGCGAGCCAGCTGAATCCTCTGCTTCTGTCCTCCACTCATGTTAAGCCCCCTTTGGCCTATTTCAGTAAGATCACCATGGTCAAAACTATCAATGTCCTTATCCAGAGCACAAGCTTTTATGGCCTTTTCATATTTGCTCTCGTCCATTGGCCTCCCATAGAGTATGTTATCACGAAGCGTCCCACTTTGTATCCAAGAAGTCTGAGAAACATAAGCCAGGGTTCCAAATACATCAACCTGCAGTTTGCAAGCATAAATAAAGTCAGTATAAAAAACTTGCTGCATCAAGTATATTAAATTTTCCATCTGTTTTAAACTCACAGTTCCTGAAATTTTGGGCATCTCTCCAAGTATAGCACATAAAAGTGACGATTTTCCAGCTCCAACTGGTCCACAAACTGCAACTTTCTGCTCCCTTTGCACTTCTAAATTCACATCTCTCAGAGTTGGAACTACTGATTCAGGATACCAGCTGAAAATGCCTCTTTCTATCCTTAAGATCTCATCTGAATTCTGTGATGACAACTGCCTTACTTCATTATCTTTCAGCTCGTCGTCAAGCAAAAAAACATTGAGACGATCAAATGAGACCTTGACTTGGATCATTACTGAAAGAGCCTCTGGTATCAGTCTGACAGGATCTCCAATGCTCCTCAGTGCAGCTAGAACCGTGAATATGGTACTTGCATTTAAAGGGGCACTTTTGAAAAGGATACATCCCAGAAAGATAACCGAAGAAATGACGGTGGGTGACATCCAATACATTAGAGTGCCATAAGCTTTTTTAAATTGCGAGTCAGACAACCATTTGAATTCAAGTTCGCGGAGGGAATCCACATAGTTTTTGAATTTCTCTTCCCAGGATTGTAACTTAATGATTTTCATACTGTTCAGGATCTCAGAAGTGGCTCTGAGTCGCTCGTCTTGAGCTATCATGAACTGGGATTGACACTTTTGAAGTGCCTTTGCAAATGGCACATTCAGGAGACCACAAATAAAGAGAGGAATCATACCAGGAAGAGCACCAAGACCCACCACCCAAAAAAGAACACCAATGGCAAGGAATACTTGCAATGCATTGCTCCATGTTGTATGTAACCACCATGGGAACTCTCCAATTCGGTAGGCATCGACTGCTATATAATTCACAATCTCCCCAGCTGAGTGCCTTCTCCTTCCCAAACTAGAAAGCTTCAGCTGCTTTTGATAAACTGCTACCAACAAGGCTGACCTCATCCTCATTCCACACCTCCTAGAGTCAAAAAACCAATGTCTCTGGCTCAAAGATTCAACCACCTTGGAAAGAATTAGACACCCTACTATTATGAGGCCTTCATATAGATTTTCCTCGTCACTATTTGAATAATTCACAAATGCGTAGAGTAGAAGAGGAGAAACTCCAACTGAAATGTTCCTGAGGAATGCACAAAATGCTATCCATATATTTTCTTTCATGTAAACTTTTGCTATGGTCTGCAGAACCAGGTTCCTGGTACTGCTTGAGCTCCTCTCCCTTGACAGTGAATCCCATGTATAAGCAAAATTTTGATATGCTAAAGCTGCTTCATCTTCAGAAACCAGAGAAGGGATGTCTTCAAGAGCTAATGTTTTTGAGGAACCCAATTTAAGTAAAGGGTTAATCCAAGCAAATGTCAATTTGCTAAGAAAACTAGCATGCTCAAGTTCTGTTTTCTGGCTCTTTCCAGAAGACTTTTTGTCCAATAGAGGTTCAGATCCCAATTCAAGTTCTCCACCACAAATCCATGAGAAAGTTCTCCCTGCATTTCCATTTCCAAGGAAAACGATCAGAATTATCATAAAACTGCATTGTTAAACACTGGGAGAAGTTGGAAAATACAAGTGATAGTAAGAAGTGCATGGAATGCAATTGTATATACAGCCACAGAGAAACATGATCAAACAGAAAGAAGACGAAGACGTAAAACATGCCGATTAAGCTCATTCAAACACCACAATATTGAATTTTACTTCACTATAAATCCATAAGAGCAGCAAATTTAGAAACTCTTATTTTATATAAAACATACCATGTTCATAGAGAAAATGATGTTGGGTACTTACCGAGTGAGCTCCTCAAAGAAGCCATACTTTTACCTACTTTGTGGTGAACTTAATTTGCTACTCTGCAGCAAGCACTCCAAACTACGTAGGAAATGAGCTCAAATCTCAAAATATATCTTCATAGAAAGTCTATGCTCACCAAATTAATAAACTTCCTCTATGATAATCACCAAATTAAATTAGCTTCTGGAAAATGCTTATATATGGACAGTCTATGCTCACCAATGTGCTTAGACCTTAGAGAAGCTTTTCTTTGTCTTTATATATGCTGAACGTCGCAATCTCGCTTCTTGCATGTTGAAGTTTCAAATTTTTTTTTTGTCTGTGCAATCCCACATGATTATTATACAATTAAGTCAATACTAAAAGTTCATTTCTTTATTTAGTCACATTTGATTAAACAAACCCAGGTTTTTAATTTTACTTTGAATTCTTCTTTGAGTATTTTGTTCATGTCTAAACATACGCAATGTAAGAACAGGAACAAGCTTCCACCTTTTTCTTCTGTTGCTAATCATTCATTTCACATTTGCCAAGAACAAATTTCAAAACTTTAGCAACACTAATTATTAATCCAATCACAAATCTTAGTATCAACGACAATCTCAACTACCCATTGGCAATTTGATTCGGTACAAGGGGTGGAAGGACTCACTTGGCAATTTGATTTTGTGGGCTTTCAGATTTAGCCATCGTTCTAGTAACCATGTAAGCATGAGGCTCTCCTGTCCGGAATTTGTTATACAAGGGTTGAAGATTGACTGACGAGACTTTGGAGTGGGATCCTCATGAAAGTGATTATGTGTTTTTCATTTGATCTTTTTAAGGGCTTTTCACAAATAGGCGCATTCTCACAAAAAGTATAAGTTAATTTTTTTAAGAAAGCATGTGTAGTCTTCTTCCTGTCTTCTTCCTCTAATTCAACGAGTTAGGATATATTGTGCTAGGTTTAACAAATTAGGGAAAATCTTGAGTTAAAATCAAAATCTTAGGTACATTGTACTATTAGATGTCGAGTTGTGTTTGATGGGATTAAGGTTGATCCCCATTTGGTGATGGAGCGAGCAGGGTTTGCAGCTAAGGAATTCAATAATGTCACTGCTCCCATTCCTCATGTGCATGGGGGGAGTCTGTTGCTAATGTTGCCTACGGTGCAGGTCCTTGTCTTTGATGGTTTGCCTTGCCCACCATGATATTATAAGTCAATGAATTGTCTATATGGGAAAACAACTTCTGCTTGGATTTAGCTTGATGTTTTCTTGTATAGATGGTGTCGGCTCCAGGCTCTTTTTGTACTTGATTTCCCAAGTTACTCCCTCTATGCCTATGAAGCTTGGTTTTGAATGAAGGAATATTTTGACCCAAAAAAATATTCTGGTAGTGATGCAAGTCGGTCAGGAGTGCATGGCTGCCATATTATGTGCATTTGAAATAATAGATTGAATGGATATTACAGAGGCATGTACATGAGCTATTTTAACGAAACTTAATGGAAGATAATGAAATATCTATAAATTTTGAGTACGACCGTGACCAATATTAATTTGAGTTAAAAGCTGATTTTCTGTGATCTGGTTGGAGAAATCAATATTATGGTTGGGGTTGTTGTACCGACATGAAAGAGCATCTCATCTCTTATTATGTAATACTATTTTTTCAAAAAAAATAAAAAAAACCGGGTAAAGCCGCACGGCTATACTATTTACTTAAAAAAACGGGCTATTCGCAGCAATGGTCCCTCAACTATACCCGTATTTACAGTTTGGTCTCTCAATTCAATTATTAATTGCAGAGGTCACTCAATTGGGTGTTGTGTTGCACCGTTAGTCCATACCGTCAAGTCTCTCTAACTGTAGGGACTAACGGTGCAACACAACACATAATTGAGTGACCTCTATAACTATTTGTTGGAGTTGAGTGACCAAAATGTAACTCCGAGTATAGTTGAGGGATCATTGCTACAAATAATCCTAATTGAAAAGTCACATTTGCCCATCAATAATCTAAGAGATGCTTGTCACGTCATCATTTTAAACAAAAAAAGTCACAGACTTAATGGAAGGACTAGTGGTGCAACAAAACACCTATTTGAGTGACCTCTACAACTAATAATTGAATTGAGTGACCAAACTATAAATACGGGTATAGTTGAGGGACCATTGCTGCGAATAACCCTAAAAAACCCAACCTTGCAATTAGACGCGCACGTGTCAAAATACGTATGGCCGCGCGGCTATACTATTTTATATATTAAAAAAAATTTGTATGGCCAAGCGGCTGTACTATATATTAAAAAAGAGAAGAACCCGCCTTGCAATTAGGTGCCTATGTGTCAAAATAAGTATAGTCGAGCGGATATGCTATTTTTCAGAAACATTAATAAAAACTAGTATAGCCGCACGGCCGTACTATTTACGAAATACTAAACGAAAAAAATACATACATGTTTTATTCGGCAAAATTTTGGCAAATTACAACTTAAAAGTTGGCCACTATACAATATTTTAATATAATTTATTTAAATTTTTTAATATATATTATTTTTATTCAATAATATGTGAGAATTATGTGTATAATTGGTGGTTCTTTTTTTAAAAAAAAATTAAAAAATAGTATAGCCGAGCGGCTATACAATTTTTTTTTTTTAAAAAAGAAGAGAACCCGCCTAGCGAATAGGTGACCACGTGTCAAAATACGTATAGCCGCTCGGCGATACCATTTTTAAGAAATATTAATAAAAAAGAGTATCGCCGCCCGGCTATACAATTTTATAAAAAAAAAATAAAAAAACTGGTGTATAGCCGCACGGCCATAATATATATATTTTTTTAAGAGAACCGCCATGCAATTAGGTGCCCACGTGACAAAATAAGTATAGCCAAACCGAGTATAGCCGATAGCCGGTCGGCTATACTATTTTAAACAAAAAATTTAAAAACCCGGGTATAGCCGCACGGCTGTACGATTTATGAAATAAAAAATAGATAGTGTTTTATTGGCAAAATTTTGTCAAATTACGACTTCAAAGTGGGCCACTATATAATATTTTAATATATTTTATTTAATTTTTTTGAATATGTATTATTTTTATTCAATAATTTGTGAGAATTAATTGTATAATATGTGAATTTTGTGTGTCTTATTGAAATTTTTTATAAAAAAATATGTGTATTAAACATGAAAAATACGCATGTACATGTACAATACGAGTATTGTACGCTTACTTTTTAAAAATCTTGAATTTTACCGAGTCTTTAAGACATGTACAAAACACGGATGTATTATTAAAAAATACGTACGTATGTGTATAATAGATTATTGAACATGAAAATGGTAAATTCTTTATACGGGTAATAACTCTGGAAAAGTAAAAAAATGAAAAGGGGACAATAGAGACTCGAGTATTGCAAAAATAATAATGGATAATGCTCTAAACTATTCTTATCGATAGAAGAAAATTGGAAAAAAAATTTAAAAGAAAAAAAGGATCCTAAAAATATATATATATAAAGAGTATAGCCGAACGGCTATACTATTTTTTTTAATAAAAAAAAATAAGGAAAAATATGTACGTGTCTATTGACTCAAGTCTTATAGTACTAACAGGCCCAATTTCTGGATCCAAATAAGTGTAAAACAAATCTTCGGCCTTTGGACAGTGTAAAGCAAACTTCCAAGTTCTTAGCTTATGCTTGTCTCTTTTTTGATTTGGCAGAGGGGGTTGTGGTTGTGTGTGTGAGGAATTTGAACTGGTAAGTACTCATAGCAATTTAGATTAAGTAACTAAAGCAGTGAAGTATGTTCATCAAATTATGTGTCAGTTCGCCTGAGTTATTAATGCCCCACATCAGATATGTTAAATATAGGATTTGGCCAAGTTATGCGCGACATTCATAACTTGGCCAACTAGCACTCGATTTCATAACTCGGCCAAGTTAGCCTAGGTGCTTATCTCGCATCTTTTTGTTATTTTGTTCGAAGCTCTTTTTCTGTAACTTCATCTTTTGTTCATCAACATTTCTTTTTTCAATCCTTTCTTTTTTTTCGTTTTTGGTCTTTTCTTTTTCTAGAATAAACTCAAATGAAGTTTTGACGCATTCACTCGCGTGTTATTTGAGCTTTTGCTTGTAACCTTGCTTTCTCATTAATCTCCAAATCTGCTAAGGCCCATTTTACATTGGTCACAAGATTTTCATCAGACTAAAAGCAATTCTATCAGCAAATTTCCAATCAAATAGTCCCTTAATTATTTAGATACATTTGTGGTGCTTGACATTTTGGGCATCAGGATCTCTTGCAGCTTGACCAATATTCAGCTACAAGCTTGGCGAAGTAGGAGTTGGTATCCAACAGCTTTGCAGGCTCTTCATATTCCACCAGCTTCCCTACACAAACAAATTAAACCACCCTACGTATTAGCAATAGGTTTCATATCATGTGTTACCAAAATATCACAGGGTCACAAGTCCTGCAGATTTCATTGACATTATAAAAGCTTACCATAGGAGAGGACCATGACCATGTCACTGTCTATAACGGTTGGAACTCTGTGAGCCACAGTTATCACTGTGCATTCTGCAAATTCCTCCCTGATGATTCTCTGCAGAACGGCGTCTGTCGAAGAATCAATGGACGCTGTAGCCTCGTCTAGAACTAGAATTCTGTTCCTCTTGAGAAGGACTCTGCCAAGGCAAAAGAGCTGGCGTTGTCCGGAGCTCCAGTTTTCCCCTTCATCACTCACTGTTGAAATCATTATAGATAGTTATTACTTTTACGACAGTGTGATTATAATATGATCTCGTCACTTCACAGAATAATTATTAGACTTAATGGAAACTTGGAGCTTAAGTAAGGTGTTAAGAACACTTTTTCTTATTTGTTTGTAGGAAACATCACAAACTCACCAGATGAGTCTAGCAGATTAGGTAGCTTGCTGACTGTTTCCTTGAGCTGACACTTCTCTAGAGCCTGCAATGAAGATGTCATTAAATTCATTCATAATGCAAGTACAAAAAGAGAGCTAAATTTAACTAATGCATGAAATTGGCTGCATTAGTAGAAGTTGCTGACAAACAATGTAAAAATTATGCAGGAAAAGAACTGGAGTCAGCTTGCTTACCCTCCATATTTCGTCATCGGAGTAAAGGTCTAGAGGATCCAAGTTGGTCCGGATGCTTCCTCTGAAAAGAGTTGGTTCTTGAGGGATGATGCTGAGCTTCATTCTCAAG